GTGTGTGTGTGTATTAATTATAGCCTACATGCTGCGAAAAGTCCAGTTCATTTAGCGTAATATCGTACAATAATTTATATATGAAAATACAGAAATTAATACTTAACCAAAAAATAAGGACGTTGACTCATACTCACGACATGTTGGATCAGTTCGTTGTTGCTTATTCAGTCTTTCGTTAAAGCGGTGATGAAGTTATTGCGTTTAAAAACAAGACGTGTGCAGTGTGGAGACGATGAAAATGTCTTCATCCTCAGGTCATCCAGCTGATAAAAACATTACAATAATCCACACCACTCCAGTCCATCAGTTAATGACTTGTTGAGACACAATATACTTTAAGAATAGCCCAACAAGTGATACAATATGTTCAACTCAGATTTGGGTACAGTAAACAACCCAACGTTTTTTAGAGTGTAAAATATAACCAAGCACTGTAGAATAAAGGAACTTTGATATAACTTACTTTGTGTGTTTCCTTGTAGCTAAATTTCACATAAACAAAACTTACTGGCTCTAAATCTTTTCTTTATTCAAAGTTGTTCTAGAGACGAGTAGCCTATAAGTTGTCTGAGCAGTACAGCAAAACTAATTTCCCTATTTTAAAAACAAAGCCTTACAAGGTAACAAAATGTAAAAAAAAAAAATCCCGCCCACTCGAAAGCGGTACTAAACTGCAGTGGAAACGCAAACCGAGCTGAACTAAGCCGTGCTGTGCCATTCTGAAACGTGCTGAGCCGAGTCGTACCACGCAGTGGAAAAGCGCCACTAGATACCTGATTGGGCAGATAGCTGCTCAACTGATCAAAAAATAGGCACATGTATTTTACTATGGCACAGTAATATAGTAACAATTTACTACATTTCTCTAATTTACAGTAGATCTCTATCTTTAAGCCCTTTCAAGCCACAAGCTTTTGAAATATTGATGTCAAAATCCAGCATTTTTTCAAAAAATCCCTGGCGCCTAAAGGGTTAAAGGTGCTGTATGTAGGATTTTGACTCTACTAAAGCATAAAAATAACATAACACGTTTGCAGATGTTTAAGAAACATGCCAAGTTAACATACTTGTTTATCTGAAAAACAATGCTACAGTCAGTAATTCTCCTTTGAAAATGTGCGTTCCGGGCCGGAATGTCTGTATATGTTTTGTTTTGTGAAACCCGCCCACTGCCAGTTTACCCAATTGTATTTCGGCACCCCGGGGTTGCCGGTTGGCGGAAAACACAGCGTATTTAATTTCATTTCAGCACCTTTAAAGCACATGCAAATAATGTACTTTTTTGATTCCGAATAAGTGCAGTGTCCTGTGAGTGTAACTCTACCACTGAGGTAACATTTGATGTGAATGTATGTGGCGTTGTACAGTATATTGAGACAAAGACGCCAGAACTGCAACTGATAGAATGTGTGCTAAAGAAATTATAGAAAGTAATACTTTTATTTAGCAAGGATGCATAAAATTTATCCAAAGTGATGACAAAGACATAATGTTACAAAAGGTTTCTATTTCAGATAAATGCTGATCTTCTGAGCTTTCTATTCATCAATGAAAGCTGGAAAAATTCAACTCAGCTGTTTTCAACGTAATATAATAATAATAATAATAACAAGAAATGTTTTTTGAGCAGCAAATTAAAATATAAAGATGGAAATAAGTGAGTGGTGATTGAGTTGTGATTTATTTGTAAACCTCTGTATTTTACCACAAAACACATTCGGTTAAGCACTTTAATTTTTATTGTTGTACATTTGTTGTTGTGGTACAGACCGACGCAAGGTGGGCTGTGTAACTTTATTTATTTTAGTTTTTTTTTGTATTTTACCACCAGTGTTGATTTTAGAATGTTTTTAGGTTACGAACGTTTTTAGGTTACGATGCACAACATTGAAGTGATGTATGCAAGCCATTAAATTCATGTTCCTAGATTTTAATGGTAATTGGCAGTAAATTTAACTAGTCAAAGCTTATTAGTGACGTTTGTGCCAGTTAAAAACAATAAAGATGGAAATAAGTGAGTGGTGGTTGAGTTGTGATTTATTTTTAAACCTCTGTTTATAACTGTAGTCCCATGTTTCAAGAAGGTGAAGGACCTGTTTCAGTTTGTAGCTTCGTTTGGCTCAGCAGCAGGATTGAATTGGAAATGCATTACACCTTTGTATGCTTTTCCGTTTATCATCTGCTGCTGAGACAATCAAATGAAGCTATAGGAAAATGAACTTGAACAATATGCCACCTTCTGAAATGGGACTACAGTTATGTACAGAGCCTATAAGCAGTATAAAATGGTCTAAAATGAGTTTAAGTTTGATGTAGAAAAGACGTCCACAACCACCACATTTGGCCTACAATTAGTCCTTATACAGAGGTCCTGTGGACGTGACTACTGGACGTTCGGTAGACGTTGGAAAAAAGACGTCATCTGGCGTCACAGTCTGCACCTTCAGGGGACCAAAATTGGACGTTCAAAAACGACGTACAAAAGACGTCGTTTGGACGTGTCTTTGCGCAGTGGGATGGTACAATCAGGAAGTAATCTGTCAGAACTGAGTGTTTAATAGTGCTCTAATAGTGTAATTAAATGCTTCTTTAAAACGGAACTTAAATTTACAGAGTTCAAAGGTATTTCGCACATACACAGATCTGTTTATTTATTTGCTTTGCACTGTGTCATCATCAGGCACATTAAATATAGCGCCTGTGTGTTTTAGAAGTACATTAAATATCCTCAGACACTAGAGGACGCTGTGACTGTTTATACTGTATTCACACACACACACACACACACACAAAAAAAACCTTCAGCTAGTGGATGAAACAAGTCAAATCAAAACCATAGCTGATGGCTGTAATTAAATAGTATTTTTAGTGTTGTCTAGCATATACAGTATAACAGTGATGCATATCTGATACCATTTCATATAATTCACCTTTTATTTAACATTTATTAATGTATTTATTTATAAAGAACATTTAATTTGATCTCTGAATGTTCAGTTAATAATTTAAAGCTGCTGCTCACAGTGAGATTTTTAATGTCAGTGTGCATTAAAATAATTCAGAATGGAAATTATTATGATCTTTGATGGTGAAGTCAGTGAACTGATTCAGTTTAAGAACACAACTATAAAAATCACGCAATGCACTGATGTGTGTGTGTGAGTTATATCTGAATGGAGGATCACTTAAATCATTGTAATATACAGTATCGTATCACCCAGCCATAAAACTTGCTTTATGTTGAAGCTCAAAGGAATTAGACATTACAGTATGACTTTCTGTAAAGCTGCTTTGAAGTATTGTAAAAGTCCTGGTTTAGTAATGCTTGAAATTGCAGTAATGTTACATTTTATATGTTGTAGATTACACATCAAGAAAAAAAGAGCATTTTTTATTTATTTATTAATCTCTGGATTGATTGATTGCTTGATTGATTTATCTTAATCAAAAAATAACACAAATATATATATAAAAATATATACATTTTAAGATTTTTTTGATAGCAGACTCCAGTAATATATCTAATGGTGAACATGTTGACCATTAGCATGATGCATCTTCACCATTGACATCCATACAAATGTAAAGTCCTGATGGGATCCTGCCGCATAATGTCTTTAAATTAACCTTGAAGGTTCTTGGAGGAGTACAGTATAACAGCACTGGGATGTTTCTCTGTTGTTATCTCTTCACTCATCTGTGCTTACAGTGATTCAGATCAGTGTGTGAGCGATGCTGAACTCAAGGAGAGCGAGAGACGTCAGTGTTTCTCTTACCAGGGAGTGGAAAATGGAAAACCGGCTTTCAGACACACAAAGCTTGATGCTTCGGCATTTTCATTGGTGTAGAAGAAATATTGAAACTAACCAGCTATTTTTGACAGAAAAGTAAGCTATCTTCTTAACAACTTCTAATATAATGCAATATCACACTAACAAGCATGATGTTGTTCTGAATACATCGGTTATGCTCTCTTGCTAGTGTCATATTGCTTAAAATATAATAATTGTCATTAAAAAAAGAACACTTTACATTTAGGTCTCATTTAATATCAAATGATGTTTACAAGCATGTATTAATTTTAGTTTATGTTAGTTCATAAAAATGCAACTTTATTCATGTTAGTTCACATTAATGTGAACAGATACAACGTTTTATTTAAAAAATGCATTCATAAAGGTTTAAATTAACACAGTGCAATAGATGCAATATTCAGTGTTAATTCATGTTCACTAATATGTGTCCCTGGAGCACAAAAGCAGTCATAAGTAGCACAGGTATATTTGTAGCAATAGCCAAAAATACATTGTATGGGTCAAAATGATCAATTTTTCTTTTATGCCAAAAATCATTAGGATATTAAGTAAAGATCATGTTCCATGAAGATATTTTGTACATTTCCTACCATAAATATATCAAAACATAATTTTTGATTAGTAATATGCATTGCTAAGAACTTCATTTGAACAACTTTAAAGATGATTTTCTCAATATTTAGATTTTTTTGCACCCTCGGATTCCAGATATTCATATAGTTGTATCAAAACAACCATACATCAATGGCAAGCTTATTTATTCAGCTTTCAGATACATGTATAAATCTCAATAAAAAAAAAAAAGGACCCTTATGACTGGCTTTGTGTTCCAGGGTCACATAGTTAACTACTGTTAAATGAAACCTTATTGTAATATTGCTAAAATTATTATTCATTATTTTTTACTTTTGTTAGGGTTAGGGTTTTAATAATGTTTTATAATGTATTTTTTGTTTTGATGTTTTGTAATTTATTACACATTATTATACATATCCAATAAGCATGACTACTAGCCTACGCTTCTCTTCATGGGATTTCTGAGCGGTGGAAGGCACACACGAGGTCATATGGACGGAAAATCTGATTTTCTCATGCTGAAACTGCTGCTTCTTTCCAGAGCCACACACACACACACACACACACACACACACACACACACAAGCAACAGTCAGGCGGCGGACGATGCGCACAACATGAGCAACAGCCAATAGAGCTCATAGACAGCAGAACACGGTGAATTCCGACTCTCTTCTGCTCGTTTAGCGTCGGGAATGTGATCTAGAAACACTTCGCTTATTCAGTCTTTCATTTTCTCGTCCTTTATTCAGGATCAGACCTCCGGTTCGGCGGAGACGCTTCACATCACAGGTGACTGATTCATTTTTCCTCATTTCTGCGTCTGTGCTGAGGTAAAACACGCTCTACCTGATACGAAATAACACGAATTTCCTATCCATGTGAGATGTCATATTCAGAATGAGCCTGTATAAATGAATTCATCATGGCTCATGTGCGTCCCGTTTATTCCTAGAGATCCGTAAACGCGCACATTCCCTTATTTCATAATCTAGTAATGAATTCTCGCTTTGCGAAACGCTTTAGTGGACAAAATCGTCCCGTTTGCTTCGGTGTGATGCACTGATGAGATTCTGATGATCAAATCCGGAGGAGACGCGGAGCTGGAGCCCATATGGAGAAGAACGAGATCATTTGTTCGTAAATGAAGATGAATCGAGAGCGGATTTATGAGCAGAACCGGCTCTTTCACACGCATGCCCGTTAAAACAGACATCAGACAGATGTTTGGCTAGAACTGGCTTATAATAGACCAGATTCGAGGCCACATGCGATTCATTCTGGATTGGTTTGCGCTGAGAAGAACACGAGTTTCTTTTGGATTTATGATGAGTTTATCATGTAAATCATCAGAGGTCTGCAGTTATTGATCACTGATACAGGATCTTTCCTTAGGGTTTGTTAAAGGGCTCATGGGTACCAGGAGGAGAGGGATCTCTCTCTCTCTCTCTCTGTATGCATATGTGTGTTTTCAGTATATCATGTTCACATGCATATATGTCTGACATGATTTGCTACAGGTTTTGCATGCAGTTCACAGTATTACCTACTGATGGCAAAAGTCAAACTGCGATGAAAACAATTCCTGTAAAAACTATTATGTTAAAAAAAAAACTGCTAGGCTACTTGAAATACTATATGATCTTATAATTAATATGTAAATGCATTTAAAATTATTTAAAACAATTTGACATGCATGCAAATGTTTCATAACGCAGTTTAAAAAATAATAAATTTTATTTGTTTTTTAAAATAATATGAATTAGATTTCATTTAAAATAAAGTTATTAATGTACTATTTTCGCATGAAAGCAATCACAGATGTTAATGCAAGTGGTGTTACTGCAACATAAAAATGGCAACAAAAAAAAAAGTATTATTTAGATATGCATTAGAGTTATCTACAGTGGTATAACACCACTGATGAAAGAGCACAGCAGCCAATGATAAATTAATTATTTTTAATGATAATTCTACAACTATATAGTTGGACCTTCAAATAAATGAAGTTTGATTATATATTTTTGGGCTGATTTTCACTCTCTTTTTCTGTCTCATTACATACGCAATAGTATTGCAGACCATGTGGATGCAAAAACTGGCAGTCCTGTCCAAGAGCAGCGTGTTCTCCTTCAACTGGATCTAGACCAGAAAACTGGACTTCAGGACTGCAGGATTATCTGAGCATCGCTAGCAGTGACTGGACTCCGTCTCAGATCATCTATTTTGGATTATTCTGCTGAGGAGGAGCTACTTCGGAGAGCATGATTACTTCCAGAGCTGGAATACTAGAGACTAATCTAGTTTATGTGGGCAAACTCAATTACAGCGGCGGATCCCTCATGTGAACAGAGCAGCGTCTAATTCGTTTTGCTGCAGGACGTGCATTGACTTCTGCAGTTTGTGCGCTCGTTCTTAAGCAAAATCAAGAGTTTTGAATCTTCACAATGTGTTTTCAATAGGAACATTCTATTGGAACGTTTTTCCCTGCGTATATTGGGACGAAGTCCATTCTGATTGCTGTTGGTGTGGAGTTGAATCAAATGGCTCGACCCGGCTCTGGAGTTCTGGGAGGCGGATACTCGTCTCAGAGCATGGCTAGGGTGGTGGTTTGGGAATGGCTGAACGAACACGGCCGCTGGAGGCCATACAGCGCCGCTGTTTGTCATCACATCGAAAACGTCCTGAAGGGAGACGCACGAGGGACCGTCATACTGGGGCAGGTGGATCCGCAACTCGCAGCCTACGTCATAGACCTGCAGTCCATGCATCAGTTCAGACAAGACACAGGTGAGTCACAGAGACATGTTGTTTACTTAGCCTATGTAAAGTGGATTTGAATTGTGAAATGTGAAAATTGGAAATGTGAATCAGTGAATTCAAGTCATGTTGCAAACGTTGAATGCACATGAAAGCCTCCTCAAATTCGGTGCATTCAAGCCTTCTTGGGAAGTTCGTAATTATCATGTCAGGTGCATTCAAGCAAAGTCTTAAGATATACTATGCTTTTACTATGAATGGGAGAAATTGCAACACAGAATAAGCCCCGCCTTCTAAATAAAGAACCAATCGCCAATAGACTGCATTAGTGCCCGCCCACTTTTTCAGTGGCGCTGCGGTTCCGAAATTATTTTTCCCATGGGGATTTAAAAAAAAGTCTTCTTTAAAGCATTATACTCTATGAACCAAACCAACCAGCTACGAGGAGAGTCACAACATTATAAACTTTGATTTGAAGCAAAAAATATTTGAAAACAGACAAAAAAGGCAAAGATACAAGTCTGTGAACGTAACCGCTTAAATGAGGGAAAGAACTACCATCCCATGAAGCATTGCGAATGATATAATTGAATTTAATGTGAAGGAGAAAAATAAAACTTTTAATTTAAAATTTTTTGGTTGTATTTATAGGTACAATATATTTTAAGTTTTTCTGCAAAATACGCATAGCTATACAAATATTTAATTATTTTGAGTGCACAGATTGACTCGATTACATCATTCACAGCGTTTCATGGGAGTGGGCGGAGCTAAAGATCTCTCTTGCACTTTGCTTAATGCGACTGTCTGATTGGTGGGATTTTCTGCACAGCATCATGGGTAATGTGGTTTTTCACTACAAATTTTTGCTATTTAACACGATTATTTTAAAAAGTCGAATTAATGTGAACAGATGAGTTCAACAAAAGCATGCACAATCGATTAACCTCAGAGCTCACAGCAGGTGTGTCTTTGAAGGTTTATCGGTTATTGTTAAAATTGAGTCATTATGCATATTTTATTGTAATTATTGTGTATGTGTTTTATACATGCAACTTAGCTAGCTTTATACAGCTTATATGTAATGATTAAATTTACAGCACCTTCAGATATAGAATAAATGCATAAAAAAAAGCAAAAACACACTTAGTGTGTGCATTCTTTATTAATAATTTTAAAGAAGTAGTTTACAAAAAGAAGTAGTTTTTTCTGAATTTTTGGTAGAAATGTTACATTGCCATCTTGTTCTGATTAAAGTGACTCGCATCTGATGTCATAATTACGACATCCCAACTTGTAAATATGAACTTCCCAAGAGGACTTGAGCACAGTAAATGTGTAGACTGCTATATAACCACTTACTACAGTTCCCACACATCAAAAGCACACCTTTCAAGGTTAAACGTTCAGCAAAAGTGCATCAGAGGAGAGACTGAACGGATCATTTGAGGATGCACTCGTGTGATAGTGCATGAATGCATGTGTGTGTTTGCGCTATGTTGCATTTGAAGTCAACAAGATGAACAAAGACAGCTTGAGGGGTTTTGGACTGTTTGGAAAATCTGTGCAGTTCCTACCAAAAGCAGATACTCTCTGAAGACTCTCTCCACACACACACACACACACACACACACACACACAGATCGGCGCGTCCCCAGGGCTCTCTGTTCGCATGATGCCATTGCCGCAGGCCACTGTTTTCCCTCATGAGAGAACAAATGACCTAAAGTAGAACGGTTCAGGGTTAAATTAGGACACATGGGATGCTCCGTGGAAAACCAAGCTGTGTGTTATTTTGGTGCATGTTTTTGTTCATTACAGCACAACTTTTGAGTGTGAAAATTTCCATTTCTATGGCAATAACACCACTAAAAAGTACTGCAAAATTCATGTTTTCCTTCAGAGTTTGGTCAGACAAACAGATAGTCCCGACCTCAAACTTTCATGGGTTGAGTAAACGTTCCTGTATCAAACTAGATCAAAGAGAAAGTACTGTAAAGATGGCAAACATTAGTTTTGATGTTGCTGCCATGTGATCTGGATGCTGATTGCTTTGAAACCACAATATTACACAGCAAAAGAGTATTTTAGTCTTATTTTTCAATAAATTATCTAAACATTCTTAAATCAAGATACTTGAGAATTAAGAAGCAAAATCACATATGATTCGTTTTTTTTTTTTTTAAAGAAAGGGAAAAAAAGATTAAAATTAAGTGACTTTATTCTTAAAATAGTAACAAATATCTAAGAAAAACAAAACTAGTTTTCCCTTTGAATTAAGTTTATTTTTTTGACCGCATTGGCAGATCTTAAAAAAAAAAAAAAGACTTATTACCTCCTCAAATAAATGTTTCTTGATTTAAAAATGTTCAGATACTATTGTAGTTTTTGTTAATATTTTTAATTAGACTTTATATATTTTCTGCTTTCATATTACATTTAGTTAAGGTTTTAGTAATTTTGTAGTTTTTTATTATTTTTGTTGTTTTTACATTTTTTTCAAAAAAGTCTTTTGTCTTGTACTTTAAACAATACAAAAATACTAAGTAAGAAAATCTTTTTTTTTTGCAGCGTAGGCTTTTAAACTAGTTTAATATCTTGAATTTGAATGGAATATACTATTAGACAATTTCATTTGCATTTAAGCCTTTGGCAGATACTTTTGTCCCTTACATTGGGGTGTACATTTGATCAGTTCATTAAACCAGCAAGACATGTTCAGACGGTTTCATTACATTTTGCTGGAAAACAACATAGTGCATTTTTACAGTCTTTTACCATTAAATTCACAGTCATTTTTTACAGTGTAGAACTAAGTAGAAAAACCAGCTTGGACTAGCATGTAAATTCAAAACTGTTCAAACCTGCACTTTTCAGCAGGAAGGTTGTTTAAATGGAAGCACTTCCTCTGTGAATTTAAAAGAGAAACTCTTTCAGACTCTTTTTGGCCTTCTGGGTAATCCGTAAAACCAGGCTAAACCTAAAATGAGAAATCAACGTCTCTCATTGTATGATGACCCCTGACTCTGTGGTTTTACGGCTCCACCAACTTCCAGATGACTCTGTGTGTGTGTGTAAGGGTTTACTGTAGTAATACTTGTGGGACATAAATTGCCCCAGACATGAGCTAAATCTGACAGAACCTCCCTTTGGGAGTTTTTAAAATTCTAACCATGCAGAAGGTTTTCTTTTATTGTGGTTAGTCAGAAGTCATTTTAATGAGCATTATCTAAAAACAATACAACACTATGGCAAGTCTTCATTTAAGTGCATTTGAATAAGGGTCCTATTATGCCTTTTCTCTTTTTCAACTTTAGTTAGTGTGTAATGTTGCTGTTTTTTAGCATAAAAAGATCTGCAAGGTTACAAAGCTCAAAGTCCACTCTGAAAGGAGATATTCTCCTTCACAGAAAACTCTTTTCTAGAACTGTAAAAAATTAGGGGTGTGTGTAGAATAGATTTTGGTTGTACTTGGAATTTTTCAATTACCTTATAAATATAGAGATGCATATCGAAAATCAATGTTTGAAAAGCAGTAAGTACTTTTTGTCAAAACTGAGTTATGAGTAGGGCTGCAACAACTAATCGATAATAATCGATAATGAAAATCATCGACAACGGATGTCATTATCGATTAGTTGCATCTGCCCACCGTGCACGGAAAACTTCCACCAGTTGCGTCAAATTATACCACTGAATAACGCATTTCTATGGACGAAATGAATCTAATAGTGGAAGAGAGGAACAGAGTGAGCTGCTTCAGGAAAGGTGTGTGATCCAAGCTGCCCAAAACATGCGAATGCTTTATTTTAAACTTCAAACTAATGCTTTAGCATAATGTTTAACATGGCTCATCCTGTCAAACGCTTTGACAGATGTGTGTGTTTAATGCGTGACATGATTCCTCAGCGCAAAACTTTCATTTTACGGTTATATCCTTATCTGTAAATGTTACATATTCATGCATGCGTTTCTATTTTGCATGAAGGCCCATCCTGAAAGTCTGCGTTAAACTGAATTTACTGAATGAACGGCGGCGCTTCAAACAGACTGAACGCAGTAGAGAGGGGGAAAATTAATTCATTTTATATAAAATATTCATTTTGCTGAAATATCTGTTATTAGATGTTAAATTTAGGGTTAAAAGTCAACATGTAATTCAAGCATTTTTAATGTGTGTTCATGCAGAACATTCCTCTCATCTGTTAACACCGAGTTTGTGTTTTTCTTTATTCATCTTTAATGATGATTTATCATCATTATTATCTCCATTTTTAGTATAGGGATTTAAACGGTCCTTTGTCCGTTTGTCTACTTAAACTCTCCATTTAAACTGTGCTTTATAACTCTTTTTGCACATAATGTATAGCAAAGCTTATAGCATTCAGTTGGCAAGTCTGTTTGAAGGACAGCATTGGGCAACATGTGGAATTTGTGTATTTTGTCAGTAAAAAAAGAAAGGCTCTTTATCAGATTAATCGAAAAAATAACCGGCCAACTAATTGATCATAAAAATAATCGTTAGTTGCAGCCCTAGTTATGAGTAAAATCAGTTCTCTTAGATTAATTGTAGCTACACTCTCAGAAAAAAGGTACAAAAGTTGTCACTGGGACGGGACCCTTTCAAAAGATACCCCTTTGAACCTTATTTAGCCCTGAAGGGTGCATATAAAGACCTTAAAGGTGCATATTTGTATCGAAAGCATACATATTTTAGTACTTAAAATGGTACATAATAGTACTTTTTGAAAAGATACTGCCGCAGTGACAGCTTTTGTACCTTTTTTTCTGAGAGTGTACTGCATATAGCCTTTAAAGGCCCACATGTGTTTGTGTGTGTGTAAAGGTTTGGAGCGCTTGTGTAATATTCTGGATTATATGTATGTATACATGCTTATTTTAGGTGTCCTGGTTCTTCCAGATGGAGCTCTCTTTATAGACTGTAGAGTTCTGAGATTTATCTGTCTGTGTGTGTGTGTGTGTGTGTGTGTGTAGTGCTGGTGTCCCTCCCTTACTGCTTGGATATGAAT